GGGGGGGATAGTAACGCAACGGAAAACGTAGGGACGCCCCCTAGCTAGGTACTGCGATGACCTCCAAACGGTGGTCGACAAGAAATGGATGAAGAGAACCGAAGACCGGACTCAGTAGTGTATTCGTTTTCATTATACGATAATTCGTTGCGCAAAGTAATTTTGGAAACTTATCTATAGTACATATTTTATTACACAAATTAATTATCTGACTGCAGGATTCGAATACCGGCCCAGTCGTATCGCTCGATACGAATACACCGGCCGTCTTATCCTTTAGGCCACGACGACTTTTTTAAAACACGTTACTATTCCTTCATCGTGGAAGTCGTTCTCGGACACCAGTTAGGAACTAGTATTTAATTAGCAACATTGGTACGTGCCGGAGAATTAGAATCCCGGTGTGGTAACTAGATACTTTCGTACTAACGTCACTGACTACATCATTGTTCGCATAATCTAGCCTCTTCTGTAAATTCTTCCGTCATGTGCATTGTTGTAAAGATGTAGTTAAAAACGACCTTCTGCACGGCTAGTGATTTGTAGTAAAATATGTGGTAGATGACGCATTTTCAGGTTCCGTGGTGGGTGGCGCTTAGTCACCATCTTGGTGGTTAACTTGCACTTACAACTTCAGGGTAAAGGTATAATCACGCAGGAGTCAGTCACCGTCGACGCCCTGGACACGTCCTTACGGATCCATCAGATCCAATAACTTTTGCATTAGACGCCTTCAGCTCCAACACTAAGAGCAGGCTTAGGGACCCCGGTAACCGTACTCGTCGAACTCGACAGAGTTGCAACCTAACCCATGCATCAGCTCGTTGAGTTTCTCGCCGGATCTTCTCAGTGGGTCGCGATTCCGATCCGGTAGTAGATTCATTCGCGAAGCAGCTGCTCTTGAGTTGTTAGGTCTCCTTTGGAGGCGCTCGGGCGGCTGTTAGCAAATCTCAGCGCTCCTGGCTGAGGCTTAGCTCGCCCACCTGTCCTGGTGAAACTGGAAAGGCCTTCGGGCCACCAGTAATACTTCAATCATAAAAAAGGTAAAGGTATAGTTAAAAAAAAATGCACATTTTCATTATAAAAATTTTGTAACGTAATTATATTATATGTAGTTTTTCCGGATACGGACATCCCTGATCCCGGGACTGCATCTGCCACGCCCGTCCGTTGCAAGTGCGAGCGAGACGAACGATGTCCCAGTTTTCACTCGGGGACGAAATCAAAATTCAATACTCTGTTAGTGTGAAGTAGTTTATGTGTATGTGTGCGTGCCTGCTTCACGTTACGTCTGTAATATGGGAAACTAATATATATAGGTCATTCGTCTATGGTATTTTTTTTTAAATTTGTTTAATAAAATCTACCGATGTTTTTTTGTTAATACGCTTTTATTAGCTTCAGACGTATGTATGTATGTTTGTAACGGAATCTTTGAACATGATTTTGACCCCCTTCAAAACGTCGGATTAACTCGAAATTTGGTATACTTATTAAGGACCGATGACAATACAAAAATTAAAAAAATTAAAAATTTAAATTCAACTAAAAAATGAAAAATAAATAATAGTTTAAAAAAAACTAACAAAATACGCTTTTATAGAAAATCCAACTAAAAAATAGAAAATAAATTTTAATCAATTTGAATTAAAAATAATGTACGAAAATTGATTTTATTGTAAAAAAAGAGTGGGGTGCATGGTATCAGTAGTTATAAATATTTTATGAACAGATAGGAGTAGAAGGATTATTTTGATAATATCCTGAAAAGCATCGCAAAATTTATTTTCTATTTTTTAGTTGGATTTTCTATAAAAGCGTATTTTCTTAGTTTTTTTTAAACTATTATTTATTTTTTAAACTAGTCTTTCCAAAGCAAGCAATGAAAAGTTCTTTAGTGTCAATCTTCTCTATGTATTTATCGTTCTCTGGACTATAGAAGGAACGGTTGGATGTGCTTATCCCAATCCCTTAGCCTATTCTCCACAAATTACGCCAGATATCCCTCCGATGTTTGATTAATACGTTCCACCATTCCATCGCATTGCGGGGGTGATAAGATGTGGTTCTAGTTTTGTGGATACCCAAGACTCTGCAAGTCTCTTGAAGTAGCTGGAACTAGAAATTCCTTACCTGATCACTGTGTATTTCTAGGGGTACTCCAAACCGACAGAACACTTCATGTACTAAATTATCGGCGATTGTCGAGACTTCTTCTTCTATAAGCTTGACAATGTTCACGATTGACTTCCACGGTGAAGGAATAACATCGTGTAATAAAAATGAAATCCGCAAAATTATAATTTGCGTAATTACTGGTCATAGGACCTCTTGTGAGTCCGCACAGGTAGGTACCATCACCCTGCCTATTTCTGCCGTGAAGCAGTAATGCGTTTCGGTTTGAAGGGTGGAACAGCCGTTGTAACTATACTGAGACGTTACAACTTATATCTCACTCAAGGTGGGTGGCGCATTTACGTCGTAGATGTCTATGGGCTCCAGTAACCACTTAACACCAGGTGGGCTGTGAGCTCGTCCATTCATCTAAGCAATAAAAAAAATATATTATGATTCTATTGTCAAAGACTAGTATACTTCTATAACCACAGAATCCGCCAAGGCTACACTATAGACAAATAATATTAAAGACAAACAATATTAATGTATTCTTAATTTGACCACAGACTTGAACGATACACAAAAGAGTATTTATTGTATGCGTGTTTGTCTCAAATACACGGTAGTGTGTGTAATTTTTGTTTTTATTTATTGACTAGCGACCCGCCCTCGCTTCGCTTCGGAAACATTAAAACACACATGAAACCAAAAAAAAAAAAAAAATTTTTTTAAAAAAAGTAGCCTATTTTCATCAGGGACAATGTCGGCTTCTAATGGAAAAAGAATTTTTCAAATCGGTCCAGTAGTTTCGGAGCCTATTCGAAACAAACAAACAAACAAATCTTTCCTCTTTATAATATTAGTATAGATTTAATGTATTTTTTATGCACAATTAAAAAAAATCTATAAGTGTGGGAAATTTCATACTCCTCCGTTCGCGAAATTTTTGTAAAAGGGGTACAAAGTTTTTGCTTCACGTATTAATTATATATAGATATTCGGCAGAGTCCATAGAAAGTGATACACAGAACACACGTGCTTCATTTCAAATATCAAGCCACTCAAAACACAACCTTATCACCTCGACACTGAGTCTATAGGTTTTTCTTGGGGTCGTCCCACCCAATCCTACCCTACGTAAACCACCTAATCCCTAACTATACTGAGACCTTAGAACTCATATGTCTAGGTGGGTGGCAGCATTCACGTTATAGATGTCTATGGGCTCCGGTAACCACTTAACATCAGGTGGGCTGTGAGCTCGTCCACACATCTATTCAATAAAAATTAAAAGTCTAGTATGTGTGACAGTTTTACTTTTCGGACCACGATTCAAGGTGGTGGAAAATGTCTATCCCCATAAAGCACCTCAAGACACCCCCTGAACTTGTCTGAGTCACGTACAACAAGGGCATGAGGTCACGGCTGTCCGTACGCCGGCACGTTTCCACTGCGTCACGTTATGACGTGACGATTTCGTGACGTCACTCTCGTTTGACCATTATTCTCTACGGAAACTATTGCATTTTTTTGCACAGGAAACGTTCATGATGTGCTAGAAATCACGATTAAGTAAAAAAATATATTTTTAGAGTATAAATATCATCAAAACAAAAAAAATAAAAGTATCAAAGCTTGGAAAAGGTTACCGGCTCAGCAATGTCTTCCGACGGCCCCTGGGGTCGTCAGAATTACGGTACCTACCCGCGCGAGCTTAAAATATGCCCTATCATCAGTAAATGCCTGCCCACAATACGCTCGTATAGAATCTAAAGAACATTGCTGCCTATTCATCGATCAATCCTCCGTCTCCGCTACGATATCCATCGGAAGACCCAAAGTGTTGTTATTCTAGTCTAATGCTTTTTCTAACCGTTTAGTTGTTTTTACTGGAGCCCATAGACATCTACAACGTAAATGTTCCACTCACCTTGAGANCCCCCCCCCCCCCCCCCCCCCCCTTCAAACCAAAACACATTACTGATTCACGGCAGAAATACCCAAAGTGGTGATACCTATCCGCGCGAACTCACAAGAGGTCCTACCACCAGTTAAAAGTCTGTTTTTACTGGCCATTACTATCGAGTCGTTCTCGTGTCGTGTACGACAATGGAAACGTACGAAGATACGTCCGCGATAACGGCCCGCGATACGTACCTACGCTTGGAAGACGTGACGTGGTATCATAGATGAAACTTTTTAGAAGCCATTTGTGTTTTTTTTTTTACTTTTTATTGACTTTTATTGATTCGTTAATTCAGTTGCTGTGAACGAATCACGGACGGTTATCCGGCACTAAATTAGGATTCACTGTGTTATGACTACCAGAGACTGACATACGTTTAAATATATATGACGCAGAGGCTGGTTCCATGGCGCTTTTAAAATGATGACGTCAGTGTCGCTCATGTCATTCTCTCCAAAATCATCATTGTCTTCCATAGTGAAGGTAATTAAGACTCACTTTTCCAATGAATTCCATTTATTGCATTTCAAGTGTACAGCGATAATAACAGAGAGCTCCGCCTCGGACGGCTGCTCGAGTCGGAATATTTTCATTGGTACCTAGCGATTGTAATTATAACCTAGTGTGAATTTTTACTCATGCCTACTATAATTCTTTAAATTATCGCCATTAACTTTATCACAGCTACGCACTTCTTGAGTCTTTTAATTCATCAACAAGGGTTAGCTGGAAGAGAATGCCTGCGTAGCGTTAAGTTCGCCTTTGTACAATATTTTTGGGCATTAAAAAATTTTCATTCATTCATTCATGAAATATTGGTTGGTAGATCATGACAGTTGTTTATCATCGAGAACAATTCCCCTTTTCAATTAATTACTTTCGGAATTTCGATAAAGATGATTTTCATTTGTTTCAGATTAAATGGCGTCCTATATAAAAGGAGGAGAAACGAATTCGGAAGTCCCTTCCGCAGCCAGTGTTCCGCCATCTTGAATACAAACAAAATTATACACTACAAAAAAAAATGCAATCCGTCGGTCGCCGTCCACGAGTCAATACAACAGAGACGAACATTCTGAACAGTTTAAAGATTAAAAAGAAAAATAACGAGCTTAACGCGACAATGTGTTCGAAATTGAAACTTTGAACGTTCCTTTTTCGAAATTCGCCTTCGATATTCCGTAACGGTTTTTCATCTGTTCCCTATAAACTAGTGTGTCTAATGAAGCTTTAATAAAAAAAAAAAAAATAGTTCTATTATCGCGGTTGTGGGGGGGGGAAAGAGAAAGAGATATCTTGATAACATAGTTGCCTTCTTACCTGTAGTTGTTTGGTCCAATTTCCTTAATAATAATAATAATAATAAATAGTAGTGATAAATTAGCACCCCTCCCTTTGTTTTTTGTTAAATTCTAAGTGTTTTAGAGAACCTCTTTTTTTGGGAGTCTTTGAAAGGGAGGTTAGTGTATTGTTGACATTTATTTAATTTTTTTATTGTCCTAGATCAGTAGTCGGTAATTTTTTGTCAAACAAAAGAACCAAATATAGATAACCCACAATTGAAGTTTATGCAGAGACTTTTTTTATTCATATCGAGAGGTGAAAAACTATTTGATTTAAGCTACATTTTTGAAAATTTACAGGAGAGCCATTTAAAGTTTAAAGTTTGGAAAAACATGTCACGACAAAATAAAGCTTACGCAGTTATTTGAATGGGGCTGAACCAAGTTCAAGTTCAACTAAAAACATCGAACTCTTGATATTCTGCCTATTTCTGCCGTGAAGCAGTAATGCGTTCCGGTGTGAAGGGCGGGGCAGCCGTTGTAGCTATACTAAGACTGGACGAGCTCACAGCCCACCTGGTGTTAAGTGGTTACCGGAGCCACAGCGTAAATGCCGCCACCACCCACCTTGAGACATGAGTTCCAAGTATTTACAGTACAACGTTTGCCCTACCTATTCATACCGAAACGCATTACTGCTTCACGGCAGAATTAGGCAGGGTGCCTGGTACCTTTCCGTGCGGGCTCACAAGACGTCCTACCACCAGTAAACAAATTGCTGAAATTCTGATTGCGTAATCATAAAATTTAAAAACAAATACAATTTTCAGGTTATAAATTGGAAACAATGGATAAGTCCGAGTTGGAGAAGTACTCCACTGGCCACGATGATGTCAGCCAGCTGACCAGGACCAGGGTAAATATGACGGCATCAAGCTAGCCTTGTTGTGAACCAAATGGACGAATTGAGGGTCTATATCAGCGGTCGGGGAACTTTTTTAATTATTACCCCAAAATATTTTTGTGTAAGTTGTTGTTTGTTTGATATTAGCCCATGGCGAAGAACAAAAAAAAAACGAAATCGCTTCTTTTTAGTATCTTTCATATTATAGCCCCCATGATATTTTTTTTTTCTCTACCTTATCCCACTAGGTGGGGTCGGCACAGCTAATTTTTCTCTTCCATTCTCTTCTATCAGCCGTCATCTCAACACTCACTCCTCTCTCTCTCTCTCATATCGTCATTCACACACTCCATCCATGTCTTCTTCGGTCGACCTCTTCCCCCTATCTAATATTGAAAAGAAAATAACTAAAAATTTAACGATTCTAAAGAAGTTTCACTTCAATATATACTTTTAACTCACAAAAGTTTCATTTTACCCCATTTGGGGTAATTTACCCCGGTTCCCCGACCGCTGGTCTATATGATGCTGTTACCGGAATCAGTCACTAAGCTTGAGCTAAGACGTGAGGTTCGAAGCCTCATTTGTCCCGCGCAACGGCTTCCCCGCCATTCAAATCGGAAAGCATGACGAGTAAGATAAGCAAGATAATGGCAAGTAATCACGCAAATAATCGTGGCTCCCTAAGATATTCAACAAATTGCCGATTAGCATAAAGGATCAGCCCTTAAGATAAATTTAAACAACTGCTGTCTTCGCTGTTATTAAAGAAGTGTTATTACTCTGTTACTGATTTCCTAAATAATGAATTATAAAACTCTCCTTATTAAGATTTCAATTTTTATAATAAACTCGTTGTGATCTCATTCTTAAATTTATCTTAATACCTAGTTTATATTAGCTGTAAGTTTCTCCTGCAAAATTTGTATGCCAACAGGCAGAATGTAGTGGGATTGAATATATTTTATACTAAGACCATACTTGTACCTGCATTCTATGCAAATAAATGAATTATTATTATTATTATTCGATTTTAACTACACCACGCTATTGTTTCGTCGTGGAAGTCACTCGTGAACATAGATAAAGTTCGTATTTCCCTCGCACTACTTGTGCCCTGATGCGGGATTCGAACCCCGGCACAGTCGCGTCGCTCGATACCAGTACACCGGGCGTCTTAACCATTAGACCACAGCAACTTCAGAACTTTTTTATTTTTTTTATTGCTTAGATGGATAGACGAGCTCACAGCCCACCTGGTTTTAAGTGGTTACTGGAGCCCATAGACATCTACAACGTAAATGCGCCACCCACCTCGAGATATAAGTTCTAAGGTCTCAGTATAGTTACAACGGCTACCCCACCCTTCTAACCGAAACGCATTACTGCTTCACGGCGGAAATAAGCGGGGTGGTGGTACCTACCCGTGCGGACTCCCAAGAGGTCCTACCACCACTGATTACACAAATTATAATTTTGCGGGTTTGGTTTTTATTACACGATGTTATTCCTTCACCATGGAAGTGAATCGTGAATATTTGTTGAGTACGTATTTCATTAGAAAAATTGGTACCCGCCTGCGGGATTCGAACACCGGTGCATCGCTCAACACGAACGCACCGGACGTCTTATCCTTTAGGCTACGACGACTTTTAATTTTAATTTTAATTACACCACGCTATTGTTTCGTCGTGGAAGTCACTCGTGAACATAGATAAAGTTCGTATTTCCCTCGCACTACTAATAATATTGTTTTTACCATCGCACCGCCCGCCACCGGAGTAGAGTTCTTCCATACTACCTGGAACCACTGCGTTCATCCACAGTGCGTTTCCAGAGATCTTTTTTGCCACGTACCATCCGGCTATGGAATGAGCTCACCTCCACGGTGTTTCTATAGCGCTATGACATGTCCTTCTTCAAACGAGGCTTGTGGAGAGTATTAAGCGGTAGGCTAGCTTGGCTCTGCCCCTGGCATTGCTGAAGTCCATGGGCTACGGTAACCACTCACCATCTGGTGGGCCGTATGCTCGTCTACCTATAAGGGCAATAAAAAGTAATAATAATAGAGGTGGACTTAAAATTTCAGATTGCGTTTTTTTTCTGCAGAGTTTCAAGTCAAAACAGCTAGTTCGCAGTCAAGCAATCAGGGAATCTCAGTCTCCGCCCAGGACGGTGTCGCCGTCAGCGCGCCCAGACCACACCGAACACAGCAGCAACGTTATAAACGACGAGAGCGCTTACAAAAATAACGAAGGCGCTTACAAAAATAACGAGAGCGCTTACAAAAATAACGAGAGCGCTTACAAAAATAACGAAAGTGCTTACAAAAATAACGATAACGAATACAATAGTAGCGTTATAACGGTAGATGAGAACGTTGCGCAGAGAACGGTCGACAATAAAACCGAAGTTAATTCTAGTCATAACGATAGATGTAGCGATGTTAATAAATATAGCATTAACGATTATAACGATTACAAAAAGAAGCAGCCCGTCGAGATACAGGTACGTGACTACATATTATTGTATTTTATTTATAACTTTTATTTATAATATTTTTCTTACTGGTGGTAGGACACTCTTGTGAGTCCGCACGGGTAGGTACCACCGCCCCGCCTGTTTCTGCCGTGAAGCAGTGATGCGTTTCGGTTTGAAGGGTGGGGCAGCCGTTGTGACTATACTGAGACCTTAGATCTATATCTCAAGGTGTGTGGCGCATTTACGTTGTAGATGTCCATGGGCTCCAGTAACCACTTAACACCAGGTGGGCTGTGAGCTCGTCCACATATAAGCAATAAAAAAATAATTAAAAAAACTAGATGATGGTTTTTTTTTTTGATAACGCCATCTTGTTTGTATCTTTAAAGCGGTTAGTTGCCCTCAATTAAGAAAAATAGTATTACTATTCGCCAATAGATATCGGGAAGAGTTGATTATTGAAAACACGAATAAAACAACATTTTCTGAAAGTAAATCGTAGCTAGATCGATTTATCGTCCCCGAAATCCCCTGTATACTAAATTTTATGAAAATCGTTGGAGCCGTTTCCGAGATTCAGATTATATATACATATATATATATACAAGAATTGCTCGTTTAAAGGTATAAGATTAAGATTAATAAATATATTACACTTGCATTAGAAAAGGCCGGATTCGTCATATTATGACCAGAGACTGGTACATTGTGGTCCTAGACACGTCATTACGGATCCTCCCGATCCATTAACGGTGCTTTTAAGTACCTCATGCACCGGTCACCGTCCTCGCCGAACCCGTCGCTTGCGACGAAGCGGTCGACGAGTGAATTAACCCACAGACACAGCTCACTGAGTTTCTCGCCGGATCTTCTCAGCGGGTCGCGTTTCAGATCCGGTGATAGATTCTGCGAAGCACTGCTCTTGCTTGGGCCAGTGTTAGTAATACTCCGGTTTGAGCTCCGTAAGCTTCACCTACTAGCTCTGTGAATCTAGAATAACCCCTCGAGGTTACTAGTATAGGTAGGAAAAAAAACCGCAGCATTGACTAGATAACGCAGCAGTACATGTCTTGAGTGAATGATCTCTCGGCTCCTTATATGGTGGTCCTGGATGCTGCGTCTTTCTTCTAGCAAAGTATTCCTGGCAGGTATAACATAAATAGCCATGCCACTTCGAACTGAAGCACTCGTGTTTACAGCAACAAGTTTCCAAAACCTTCCGGTCGTATTGAGGGTCAAAGCGATAACGTCTCTCTTATTAATTGGTGCACTTTGAGGTGGCTGTATCTCGAATCGTTTGGCAGATCACCTCCGGCGGCTGGGACCTAGAGTCGCACATGGAACAACGCCAGAGGACCAAACGCTGGCTCGGACAGAAGAACTTGTCTGAGTCCACGCGCGACCTCCTCTCTAACAGCCCTCGCGTGGCCTGCGTCTGCGGATCCTGCGCTGCTTGTCCTCAGTGCAGGTCGGTTGGTGCCCATTCACCCACAGAAACACTCTAATCATTCATTAAACATGGTACTGTCTCTGCCCAGGGGTCGCAGACGCAGACGCACGTGTCCCATCAAGCAGGACTCGGGGATCGTGTGCTCTGACGACTGCCTAGATTGCTTCGAACCAGACAATTCAGGTATACGCTGATTTTAACACACACACAGACACACATCCGCACATACACACGCACACAAACGCGCGCGCGCACACACACACACACACACACACAAGTTAGGACATTGCACTGTGTTCGCGTATGAAAGGAGGATTAAAATTCAGATGTTTAACGAAGGCTTGTAGATGCTTGACCATTGAAAGTAAGATTTGTAAATTTTTGGCGGTAGGATGTCTTGTGGGTTTACACGAATACGGACCATCGTGCTGTTTTATGAGACACTTGAGGCATCGACCTCATGTCTCAAGGGACGGGTGAGTTCCAGTAACCGCTTCACTCTAGAAGGGTCGGCCCTCATCTATCTATGAAACAAGTATCGTGCACACCATCAGAATGTATTTTCAATTTTTTTTCAGTGCTCAACGAGGGTACTCGGAAATCTGCTTCGGTAGACACCGACGACCAAGCATACATCTGCAAGTAAGTGTCGCGGGCGGCGCCGCTGCTGCGGTCCAAGGGCACCTCACATCAGGACATATGGATATTAAAAGAAATTTAGCGAAACTGTATTTTGTGTTGGCCCGCCCCGCCACTTATACCGTGAAGCAGTAATGCGTTTCGGTTTGAAGGGCGGGACAGCCGTTGTAACTATACTTGGGACCTTAAAAGGACCTAGTTTCACTAATATCTGTACTTACAATTGTAAAATCCTTATACGCGGCTCCTTCAAAGGCTTTCTCAATATTCGCGGCTTAAAGAAATGCAACCCAATTTCTAAGTTCGCGGATCTAATCGGTACATACATATTGATAAAAACGAATTTCAAAATATAGGTATCCAACCGAATGTCCTTCTAAATCGACTAATAAAAAAATAAAATAGACCTTATTACAACTATGCTTAAAGTATATTTTTATTTTGTCACGTTCGGAACGTAACTCCTATAATATCATATATTATTATTGTTAACGAATCAACGTCGCGTCATACGTTGATGGCTATGATTGGCCAACGGTGACGTCATATCGCACGAACCAATCAGGGAACGCAACAGTGGCGCCAATTAAAATATACACGAAAAAAAAAGATGGACGCGCATGTCAATTTATCTTTATTTATAAAATAATTAAAAACAATATACAGTCAAACCTGGGTAAGCGAGAACTGGATAAGTGAGAAAACTCTATAAGTGAGAGTAATAGCCAGGACCCGTCATTATAAGCTCTCAAAACCTCTATTAGAGAGAAACAGAAACCTCTGTAAGAGAGAGTCGTTTTTCCCTCATGGACCTCCCTAAGTGAGACTGCTACTTATCTATACCTCTATAAGCGACAGTCGACCTTTATTTTAGGAGGAACAAATGAAAAAACAAATTACAAATTTAACATCTGCTATTGTATGACTCATTCTTAACTTTTGTGGACCTTCCTTCTATTGTTTTGAATTGTTTTCTCATCAATATTGAACCTATTCTATTTCGTGGAACTAAATAACGTTGTTATTTTATCGCATTCTTTCCGAATGGACACGTGTGCCTCTGTACCGTCCTGTTTGTCGGACTTACTCAGTTTATCGTTAATCAATTACGAAGGAAAGTTCTGTTCTGCATCATGTCAAAACGGAAAATTAAAGTACTGTCATTAAGTGAATAGTGAATGCGTTTGAATGCGGAAAATCGCGAAATGAAATTCAGAGGGAGCATTAGCGAGAAACTCGGGTTAGTGAGAAACCTCTATAAGCGAGAATGAGATTGTGCTCCCTTGAACTCTCGCTTATCCAGGTTTGACTGTAATTAGTATTTGAAGAGGTAAAAGCATTTATTCATTTTCCTGGCCACCTCAAGATACCTGTTAAGAAAAAAACGCAACAATTATGTAAATTACCATTCGCAGTATATTTACGGAACATTATGTACCCAGCGAATAAATAGCTTTTACTGTTTTTTGTAATAGGTGCAAAAGTTATCCTAGTATCATATGACGTCACTCCTTAACGGGACGTACCAGTTAATTGTGACAATGTCATTACAGATGTCCAGAGCGCAAAGACTTCAAGTCAAAGAGCGCATCCTTGAGCAGAACCGATTCCGGTGAGTTTTTAACATAATTGTTTTGAAGTAGTTTGCTATTAATTTGGTGTTCATGAGGGTATGCGGAAATAAACGGTTGTCTCAAGTTTATGAGGGTATTCGGAAATATAAGTTCGTCTCAAGTTTATGAGGGTACGCGGAAATATAAGTTCGTCTCAAGTTTATGAGGGTATGCGGAAATATAAGTTCGTCTTTAAGTTTATGAGGGTATGCGGATATATAAGTTCGTCTCTAGCTTATGAGGGTATGCGGAAATATACGTTCATGTCAAGTGACACGCCCGAGTCAAGCGAGCGGGCAACACTTTCTCGCCTTAAACATTTCGGATCCACCAGATACACTCTCGGTGCTTTTGGACTCACAAAGCACCGGTCACCAAGAGTTCGACAATTTAGCCCATAGACACAATCCACCAAGTTTCTCACCGGATCTTCTCAGAGGGTCACGTTTGCGGTCCGGTGGTAGATTCTGCAAAGCACTGCTCTTGCTAGGACCAGTCTTAGCAAGTCCTCTCAGTTTCCCTTCCTTCCTACTAATCATGTGTAAAACACATATACGTGATATGATTGGTTATTAATGAATACGCATTGTAAACTTTTTTTTTATTGCCCTTGTAGGCAGACGAGCATACGACCCACCTGATGGTGAGTGGTTACCGTCGCCCATGGACTTCAGCAATGCCAGGGGCAGAGCCAAGCCGCTGCCTACCGAAACTGTGTGCTTAGCGCGAGTTAACGTTCTCGATACCGTAAAAGTTAACAAATTTGTATGAAATTTTAACAGCGCCCCTAGCGGCAAACGTTCCAACTCTGAAGTCAATTGTACGCGGTCGTTGACCCGTTGATGTGTCGGTTGATTTTACTTGTAATACATTGCGCGCTGTTAAAATTTGATTGTGTTTATTATTTTATACGAATAGAGGAGGCCTTTACCTAAACAGGGGTCCAAAATCACATAAATAATACTAATATTAAATTAAACGGTTAAGTTTTTAATTTTCTTTAAGTTAATTTACAGGTTTATAGGTTAATTAAAATAGAAAGGTTACATAAAATTAATTAAATAATTAATTATAACTAGCTTTTCTTAACCTAAAATTTAAGCAACAACTTACTAACAAACATTATTATTATTTATTTATTAATGCTACATAATCAACTTTTTTACTGATAGATAGTAGGTGTATTACCATGGTGTATATACCCAAGCACATAGGTCGTCAGGTATCTCACGTTGAGCGAGGCAGATCTCGTTGAATCTGTCTCAATCGTTCAGATTGTCCGGGGAAACGAAATATCCTTTTCGATTCCAGATGACAAAACAGAACCCAGCGGACCTGAGCTGGTGGACTTCATTAAGGAAACGCTGAACAAGAACCAAAAGGACCGCGCCACGCTACTGAAGATAGAGAAGGAGCTTCACGCTCTGGTGACAGACACGGGGTGAGTAAATATCTTTAATGGAATTTTTTTTACAAAAAAAACTAGCCGTACTCGCTTCGCTGGGTATTTAAAATTAACATTATTATTAGGGAGTCCAACACTCATATAAATATTAGCCTATCCATTAAGTACATGTATTTTCTACATGGATACCGAGTGTCAAGTCAACCGGATCCACGGTTCAGTAGTTATAACGGAAAATCCGTAAAAAACCACTGTAGATTTATATATTAATACTAGCTGACCCGGCAGACTTTGTAGTGCCTCAATCGATAACTAAAAGACCGATGGGGGACACATCAAAGCAAAAACAAAATTGCTATTTTTATTTAATTCCGAGCATTTTCATATTAATCTATCTTTTCAACCTTCTCTGGACTTCCATAAATAATTTAAGACCTAAATTAGCCAAATCGGTCCAGCCGTTCTCGAGTTTTAGCGAGACTAACGAACAGCAATTCATTTATATATATATATATATATATATATAGATAGATGAATGGAGTAGTTTTTAGATCTTAAAAAGATATCTCTCAAGTCTTAAATAAATATTTGTGGTATTTTAACAATGTAAAGGTATTCAAATTTCGGATCCTCCCGATCCACTAACGGTGTTTTTAGGTACCTCAAGCACCGGTCACCGTACAAGCCGAACCCGTCGCTTGCGACGGAGGGGATTTTTTATTTATATTATTCTTTATTTGGGAAACCAACAGTACAAAATAAACATGTAATATTGTAAAAAATAGCTAAAACAATAACCAAACCGGTTTCCGCCATCAAAATCACATATAAGTAGAGAATGAACAAAGGAAAATAAAAAGAGAAATTTAGTTTTGGCGAGCAAATTAACCCACAGACACAGCCCACTGAGTTTCTCGCCGGATCTTCTCAGTGGGTCGCGATCCGGTAATAGATTCTGCGAAGCACTGCTTTTGCTAGGGTTCTTGTTAGCAACGTCGTCAGGTTAGAAACCCGTGAGCTCACCTACTAGTTCAGTGAATTTATTATGACCCCTCGAAGTCACTACAATAGATAGGATAAAAAAAAAGATAGTAAAACTTCACCTTGAGTTTACAAAATGTAACTTAACTAGCGACCCGCCCTCGCTTCGCTTCGGAAACTGTAATTTATTAATCATTTATCCACTTTTTAATGGATGTTATTATACATATAAGGTAATTTCCAATATGTTTGTGATTAGAACGACACAGTCAGTCAAACACAATTGAATTTCTCTGTAATAAAAGTTTTATTGTTCATTATATTAGGTACATGAAATAAGAGTGTGTATTTACTCATTACGTTACAAAAACCTACATACCTGTAATAAAAGAAACGACATTTAATGTTATTATTAACAATGTCAGTTCCTGAATCACAATTAAGTAGTATTTTAAACTTTAAATATTAATTTATTAACAATCACGAGNTTAACAATGTCAGTTCCTGAATCACAATTAAGTAGTATTTTAAACTTTAAATATTAATTTATTAACAATCACGAGTCTCATGCGTTTTAGGTTATCTTTTCCATAGCTAATTAAATTCATTGATTTGTCATGTCACTGTCACTGTGCATTCGATGATGATTGATGCGCGGGAAATTGAATTAAAGAAAATTATATTTTTTCTTTACATACATATAAACCTACCTATTCAATCATACCATCTATTAAAAAAAACCGCATCAAAATCCGTTACGAAGTTTTAAAGATTTAAGCATACATAGGGACGGATAGATATAGGGACAGAGAAAGCGACTTTGTTTTATACTATGTAGTGATGTATAAAGTTCTTAATTAACTTTATTGATTTGTTATTAAGTAGCGTGTACGTTTGTCCAGCCGGTGCATAGTTCGCTTCCCGGTGATGACGTCATACGGGCGGATGCTGGTGCACCGCTGCGCCGCCCTGTTCCAGCTCTCGCACAACCTCGACCACACCAGCAAGAACTCAGTGCTCGTCTCCAAGAGCGGTGAGTTGCGGGTCTCTGTAAATTAGTCTTTAGACGCTCGAAGCGGCCGTTGTTTACTGGTGGTAGGACGTCTTGTGAGTCCGCACGGGTAGGCACCACCGCCCGTCTATTTCTGCCGCGAAGCAGTAATGCGTTTCGGTTTAAAGGGCGGGGTAGCCGTTGTGGCTATACTTGAGACCTTAGAACTTATATCTCAAGGTGGGTGGCGCATTTACGTTGTAGATGTCTATGGGCTCCAGTAATCACTTAACACCAGGTGGGCTGTGAGCTCGTCCACCCATCTAAGCAATAAAAAAAAAGAGAAATAGAGCAGAAAACGTTCTTTATTTATTGTCTATTAATCATTTTTTTTTATTCCATAAAGTCCTTCATATGACCAACATAATAAAGTATGCATAATTCGTGTTAAAAGAATGTGTATCCCTTAATTTCACATAACAAAGTAAATGAAATGAAGAATTCCATGCACCCAATCGAAAGTGAACCTTGAAGTGTCAGTCGTTACGGTCGAATTTCGATCGTGCAAAGAGCAGTATTTATATAATATGATACAAGTTGTATGAGATCCTATCGCAGGTACGAGCGGCGGGCGCGTCCCCTGCACCGCCTTCCGCGCCTGGTGCTCCGCCGTGTTCCCGCCCTCCTCGCCGCACGGACCGCACGGACCGCACGAGCCGCACGCGCCGCACGAACCGCACGCGCCGCACGCCAAGTACGTACAACCGCAGAGAACAAGCTCGAGGACAACGACTTTTAATTCCTTCAGAAAATATACTGTCACGCGCTGGGGTTCGAGATAAATAAGAGAATAAGAAATAAAGTTTCAAAAAAGTACAACTTAAATACTGTACTCAACACTTAAAACACTCAACTCGCTGGTTCCACTTCGCTTCAGGTGATCCGTTCGCTGTTTCGCTTCGATTAGTTCCGATTACTGACTGACTGCGTGCCATCCCTGCAACGCTTTTATAACCGATACCACATCCCTAGAATTATCGAGAATATTCCACACATCTCTAGTAGTAGTTTCCGGTATCTGACAATGGATGGCGTTGTACTTCTCGAGCATTCTAGGTGCTACTAGATACTTCGATATTCGTTTCGACTATTCGGCGATAGATGGCGTTACTCTTACCGGCGTAACAATACCATTAGAACACTAGTAGGGTAGTTTTCAATTTTGCGGCCAAAAAAGTAACGATTATGTGAATTTAAACTTTCTCTAATTCTCCATTTTTTTTTTGTATTTAGGCGTGTTTAGAATAAAAAATACACACAAAAAAATCATTACAATCAAGTCAATCACTCATTTATTCCAATAATACGCAAAATCCAAAAAAATCAGTCACGCGAATGAGTCATATAAGAATAACTCGCTTTTGGCCCCAAATTTGAAAACGACCCACTAGTGGCTTAACGGCTTTCACTTTTTGATGTCCAAGGATCCAGGTGACCGATTTTTATGAGGACAGAAACGGAGGTCTCACCTCATCCACTCCGTCCACCAGGTCGATCCTGAAGCGCGCCAGCCAGTCCCTGGACGAGGGGGGTGCGGGGCGGGCGGCGTCCCGGAGCAAGTCGCTGGAGCAACGCGAGCGGGAATACGAACGGGTACGCAGGAGGATATTCAGCTCTGTGAGTTGTCCAATAGCGCGCAAGCCTCGCACGGCGGAGCTCCGCCGCGAGTGACGTCACTTGGGGCCAAACGAACCGCCGTTGATGAATACGAACGAATTAAACTGTCATCTGTCCCGGGACAATCAGTTTTTTGAAGTGAAACTTCCTTAGAATCGTTGTGGTGTGATTTCAAACTCGATGAAACGAAAAAATGAAACGGAAATGAGATAGAACACATTCATTATACGTGAAGTTAAAATATCAATTCACAGAGGGCGCTACCTCATACGTTGGGGGGGCCAAACGAACCGGCATTGGATATGAACGAATTAAACTGTCAATTGTCCCGGGACAATCATTTGCGTCACCGTCACGCGGTCTCCGGGCCTACTGGTGCGACTACTAACTGTTCTCGAACGTAACTCGATTCGAATCCGTTCAATCATTTTCGATCGAACCCAAAACCATTTTTGCGATTTAATAACGCGTTTTCGTTTTTCCTTCTTTTTGTTTACAATTTCCGATGCGATTCGTATAGTTTACAAGTACATACAGACATTTAAATATTGTGTTTAGATTAATTACTTTGGGGGCAACTNTAACTGTTCTCGAACGTAACTCGATTCGAATCCGTTCAATCATTTTCGATCGAACCCAAAACCATTTTTGCGATTTAATAACGCGTTTTCGTTTTTCCTTCTTTTTGTTTACAATTTCCGATGCGATTCGTATAGTTTACAAGTACATACAGACATTTAAATATTGTGTTTAGATTAATTACTTTGGGGGCAACTTGGGGGGGGGGGGGAGTGGGCGATCTAAACATTGATCTATTTATTAATTACAACGATTTTACTATTCCTTTTCGCGGAGACGTACATTGTAACAGACCAAATTTGTTCTATACAAAATTTCAATAACGAGACAAATTACAAAATACTCGAATACACGACAAACGAATCTATACCTTGGGGTGTTAGTGATTACGGTCGAGTTTCGATGGTAAGGGGAGCTATTAGTGAAAATGAATGAACGTATTGAACAGCCCCTGTGCTGATAGGGGTGAGGGGTGGGGGGGGAGCGATGCTCGAGGACGGCCTCGTCTGACGTCACCGCCACCGTGTGACGTCACGAGAAGGACACGACGCCATATTCAAAATACATTAGATCCGAGTGATGTTTCCGCAGGACAACTGTGCGCAGGACGAAGCCGCGTGGCCCTGGAACGCTGGTCCCATCAAGGTACTGACTCCTGAATCCGGCAGGAAGCAACTCCTCAAGGTATGCCATTAGAAGCTATGCCGTATTGCTGCCATCCATAGACTCTCGAATCATGGTATTTCCATTTGACTCCATATATTTAAAGTATCTTTATTTTTTATTTTTTTTTATTGCTTAGGTGGGTGGACGATCTCACAGCCCACCTGGTGCTAAGTGGTTACTGGAGCCCATAGACATCCACAACGTAAATGCGCCACCCAACTTGTATCTCAGGGTGGGTTGCGCATTTACGTTGCACATGTCTATGGACTTCAGTAACCACTTAACACTAGATAGGCCGTAAGTTCATACATCTATCTAAGCAATAAAAAAAAGCTCACTGATGGAAAATCTTTTTAATAAGTAATAGTTAAAAAAAACTAAGAAAAAATGATTTTATTGTAAAAAAAAGCGTGGGGTGCATGGTTTGGATTTTCTATAAAACCGTATTTTGTTAGTTTTTTTAAACTATAATATTCTTTATTTTTCATTTTTTAGTTGAATTTCAAAATTTTCAATATTATTTTTGTAATATTGAATTGTCATCGGTCCTTAATTAGTATGCCAAATTTCGAGTTAATCCGACGTTTTGAAGGGGGTCAAAATCATGTTCATTGATTCCGTTACAAACATACATACGTCTGAAGCTAATAAAAGCGTATTATAAGTAACTAGTGGTCCCCGCAGTGATCGAAATTCGACTATAATTAATTGAAATTATAAGTTTGTACACTATTATGGTTCTATTGTCAAAGACTATTATACTTCTATAATCACAGATTTCGCCAAGACTACACTATAGACAAATAATATTAAATATAAACAATATTAACCTATTTTCAATTTAACCACAGACTTTAAGCATTAACTAAAGTTTGAAAATAAACAAAGAGTATATTATATACATATGTGTGTGCGTCAAATACATGGTATGTAGTGTGTGTAATGTTTTCTTTATTGATTTAATGTATCTTTTATGCATTATTTTAAAAATATATTAGCATTGTGCACTCCTTTTTTTTTATTGCTTAGTTGGGAGGACGAGCTCACAGCCTACCTGGTGTTAAGTGGTTACTGGAGCCCATGGACATCTACAACGTAAATGCGCCACCCACCTTGAGATATAAGTGCTAAGATCTCAGTATGGTTACAACGGCTACCCCACCCTTCGAACCGAAACGTATTACTGCTTCACGGGAGAAATGGCTCCAGGGCGGTGGTACCTACCCGCACGGACTCACAAGAGGTTCTACCAACAGTAAAAATATATTCTTCTCTATATTCTCTATAAGTGTGGGAAATTTCATACACCTCCGTCCGCGCAATTTTCTTAAAAAAGGGCTACAAAGTTTTTGCTTCACGTATTAATATATAGTATAACATACAGGTGCAGTCGCTGGAGAGCTCCTCGTCCGGCGGCCCGTCGTGGCGGAGTCGCGGCGCCGTGTCCAAGAGCCACAGCTTCAGCGGAGCCCCGCTGCACCAGCACAGGATACTCAGCAGGCAAGGTCAGCTGCCCCACCACCACGCGACCGGAGGGGACCCTAACCAGAACCGACCTTATGTCTCTAGTGTCAGATGTTCTGAAGGCTCTAAGTCGGTTGTAGAGCGGGACGGCCTTTACACGATTGAGACTGACCTCACGCCTCAAAAGTAAGTTTTCGTAGGCAGCGGCTTAGCTCTGCCCCTGGTATTGCTGATGTCCATGGGCGACGGTAACCACTCACCATCAGGTGGACCGTATGCTCGTCTGCCTACAAGGGCCATTAAAAAAAAAAGTCGGAGCGCGAACTCGTAACCCAGCAACTAATATTAGACAAGATAGTAGCCAAGATGACTGTACTATAGTGTGCGCGGAAGCACTAGTCATCGCCTGAGGTATGTGAGCGGCAGGGCGGGCGAGGTAGACAAACGTCAAGCTAACTCAGTCTCTCGGGAACATATAAATGTTTGTTGGTCTGAAAAAATATCGATTTTCATACCTTATCGATACTTGGAATTTTATATCGATACAACGACGTATCGAAGTATAAAGGTAGTTTTCCATTTACAGAGCATAATGCGACTCAGTGACGCACAATGCCGAATTATGCTGAAGCTTAGCTGAGCATTATGCCGCATAATGCGCTCTTGTGCTGTAATTGGAAAAGTACCAAAATATCGCTCAAAAATATCGATACATTGAAAAAAGAATATCGATATTTCGATGTATCGATATTTTTTCAACAAGCCTAGTCTGCCGTCGACCACGGCGGCGGTCACACGGTTCACTTGTTCTTGCCAGTTTGTTCCAAAACATACACGAGATAAAATATCCTAAGACGGGTCCACCAATTACACGACCAGTGTAAAATGTAATTTACAATGTGCACAGTTTTTTTTTCTCGAGACCGTAATGAGAATTGTAGCTGAAGGATATTCGAACCGGAAAAACCAAAATTTACTTCTCCACGAAAACCTAAAGAAATAAAAAAGAGAATCCATATTGATGATTTCGACATGGGGGTGGGTGTTACGAAGGAAAATTCATCAGTTTTGTTGATAAAAAAATTCAAAATAAATAAATAAATATATTTTTTTTAAATGTACTTTTTTTTATTTTTATTTTCGTATCATTAAATGTTAATTTGCTTATAAAATTATTTTGTATCGTAAATAATTAAATATAATAAACACTTTTGAACATACATTTTTTGCATAACCAAGAAATAGAAAAATACAATATTACAATTGGGTACCCATTACATTAATTCTAACATGTTATTCTGAGATTTATCTGCACTTAAACATAATATCGTGTGCGTCTTGTCAATCGCACCCTCCCCCGTCTCACCCCGCCACATACCTCAGGAGTATATGCTTCCGCGCACACTATACCAGACGAGAGAGAAGCATTGTTTACTTTAATATTACTGAAGATTCCTTCGTCGTCCCCAGGGGATCTGGCCTCCAGCAGCTGGCGCCTCTCTCCGTCGAGCTCCGGATACAAGACCCTGAGTTTGAGGAGTACAGATTCCGTGACTCCTTCACCGACTGGTAAATAAACTGTATGATGTAAGTAGGTCGGCTCGGTGATGGCGATATCTGTGGGCTTGCCGTGGCCACGTCAACATACTGCTTACGACCACGAGGGACGTGGGATCCGCCATCGACTACCTCAAGCGTCTCCAGCACGTGCTAGCGGATCACAGACTGGTGGTATGTCCTCTTGTGAGTCCGCACGGGTAGGTACACCACCACCCTGCCTATTTCTGCCGTGAAGCAGTTTGAAGGGTGGGGCAGCTGTTGTAACTATACTGAGAGACCTTAGAACCTATATCTCGAGGTGGGTGGTGCATTTACGTTGCAGATGTCTGTGGACTCCAGTAACCACTTGACACCAGGTGGGCTGTGAGCTCGTCCACCCATCTAAGCAATAAAAAAAGAGAGCGCAACGCAAATACTTGGACGCGTGAAGTCGTCGCCCCTCAGACACAGCCCACTGAGTTTCTCGCCGGATCTTCTCAGTGGGTCGCGTTTCCGATCCGGTGGTAGATTCTGCGAAGCACTGCTCTTGCTAGGGTTCGTGTTAGCAATGTCGTCAGGTTTGAGCCCCGTGAGCTCACCTACTAGTTTAATGAATCTAGAATAACCCCTCTAGGCTACTAGAATAGGTAGGGAAAAAAAGAAGTCGTCGCCTCAATATATTGTATAGCAGAGTACAGGCAGGAGTGGGATAGGGGGTCTTATTAATGCGCGATACGCCTTACCATGTGAGGCTTTGGTTCATGTGAAGGCCTATCGACGTATCTATTCGTGTATCTTCCTTCTCACTCTAAAGCCGTTATTCGTGTATCTTCCGTTTCACTCTAAAGCCGGTATTCAAGTGTCTTCCGTCTCACTCTAAAGCCGGTATTCGAGTATCTTCCTTCTCATTCTAAATGCGGTATTCGTGCATCTTCCTTCTCAATCTAAAGCCGGTGTTCGTGTATATTTCTTCTCACTCTAAAGCCGGTATTCGTGTATCTTTCTTTTCACTCTAAAGGCGGTGCCAGTCCGGAACCAGCCCCGGTCCCAGGTTCACCGCCGGGTCCCGCCCCCGGGACCCTGGCGGCGAGCATGCCGGGGACCATACCCGGGACAGAGGTGCTGTGGGCCGTCACGGACATGTCCGCCGTGCCGCCCGGGGCGATTGTGATACATCCCCAGGTGAGGTTTTTTCAAATGAACATTCTATCTTTCTTTAGGCAGCGGCTTGGCTCTGCCCCTGGCATTGCTGAAGTCCAAGGGCGACGGTAACCACTCAGCATCAGGTGGGCCGTATGCTCGCCTGCCTACAAGGGCAATAAAAAAAAATCTCGTTCAAACAATCCTTCATACGCTTTACCTAACTCTGGAACTTCATTATATATTTTTTTAAAGGGATTTTATGACCCGGTAACTAAGACCTTTAGGTCATGTATTATTTTAATTTATATTCTTATTGTTATTAAAAATGATAATATGGAAAGAAGAAAGAAGTTTCACTTCTGTCACGAGCACCAAGTTGCACGAGCAATTTTTTTTTTTTTGTAAATATAAGTAAATAAATAAATGAATGATTATTTCAGACCGGACGTCCCCTCACGAATTCAGACGGCAGCATCTATCACTTCGATCCGGCGAATCCGCCCATCGTATACGATCCCAGCGCCTACATACAGGACGGACACGCGGTAAGTGAGCCCCTCGCCGCTGTCACAGGGTCCGAGCCGCATCGGACGGACTATACTGTGTTACGCGCTGGGGTTCGGGATAAATGAGTCGTCTATTATCAAAGGTGGCAATCTGTGCATTTGGACAAAAAAAAATTATTGATATGTCAATACAGATTAATTTGAATATAATCGTCTCCTTCAAAGAATACGGTTCAAAACCTGCATTAAATAAAGGTTAATAGTTAACCTGTTATTTATCTAAGATGTCGTTCCGAAGAGTTTTGTGACTGCCAATGGAATACAAAGTCAATAATTCGTTTTTCTGATTTACCAATAATTGTCCAAAAGTCAGATTGCCGGCTTTGATAATAGTCGACTCAAATAAAACTTCCATCGAAGTACAAATATAAACTTAGAACACTTACAGAGCACCTTACAATAATTTTTTTATTGCTTAGATAGGTGGACGAGCTCACAGCCCACCTGGTGTTAAGTGGTTGCTGGAGCTCATGGACATCTACAACGTAAATGCGCCACCCACCTTGAGATATAAGTTCTAAGGTCTCAGTATAGTTACAACGGCTGCCCCACCCTTCAAACCGAAACGCACTACTGAAGAAGGCAGAAATAGGCGGGGCGGTGGTACCCACCCGCGCGGACTCACAAGAGGTCTTACCACCAGTAATTACGCAAATTATAATTTTGCGAGTTTGATTCTTATTACACGATGTTATTCCTTCATCGTGGAAGTAATTCGCTTCAGATGATCCGTTCGCTGCTTCGATTCGAGTAGATCCTATTACGAACTACCTTCATGTCATCCCTGCAACGCTTCTATAGTCGATATGACAACTCTAGATTTATCGAGAACATTCCTCACAATTCGGGTACTTTCGATATGCGTTTCCGCTATTTGACAACAGATGGCGTTGTGCTTCTCGGGCGTTCTCGGTTTTACTAGTTATTTTGATGTTCGTTTCGGCTATTCAACGATAGATGGCGTTGCTCTTACCGGCGTAACAATACGTTATAAAGCGTCTCTGGTCTGTTTGTCTCGCAGGACCCGCCCCAGGATGACGCGTCCGAGAGGAGACGCGGCAGACTTGAGAAGCAGCACTCGTTTATTGACCACGGTAAGTGTGATAGAATATAGTTGATGAATGTCGGAACACCCTTCATCGCTGCTTCCGTGGAGTCGCACACTGAGAAGGATGGGCGAAACTGGTGGTAAGACCTCTTGTAAGTCCGTACGGGTAGGTACCACCGCTCTGCCTATTTCTGCCGTGAAGCAGTAATGCGTTTCGGTTTGAAGGGTGGGGCAGCCGTTGTAACTATACTGAGACCCTAGAACTTTTATCTCGAGGTGGGTGGCGCATTTACCTTGTAGATGTCTATGGGCTCCAGTAACCATTTAACACCAGGCGGGCTGTGAGCTCGGCCACCCATCTAAGTAATAAAAAAAAATACTGCGGGACCACTACTTTTTTTAATATAAATATAAATGATGTCAAGTCAAATCATAGCCTTTTGAAACTTGATTACCTCGCAATTGTATAAATAATAATTATTGTGGCTTCGATTTTGATTACACCACGCTATTGCTTCGTCGTGGAAGTCACACGTGAACATAGATAAAGTTCGTATTTCCCTCGCACTACTTGTGTCCTGATGCGGGATTCGAACCCCGGCACAGTCGCGTCGGTCGATACCAGTCTTAACCATTAGACCACAATGAATATCGTAATTTAGCGTGAGCCAGTACGATCAATGAGTCTAATAAGGAAATGGAACTTTTGAGAGGTTGCAAAGTGACATTTTTTTAATATCTATATACATATATAAAAATGAATTGCTGTTCGTTAGTCTCGCTAAAACTCGAGAACGGCTGGAACGATTTGGCTGATTTTGGTCTTGAATTATTTGTGGAGGTTCAGAGAAGGTTTAAAAGGTCAAGATAAATATGAAAATACTCGGAATTAAATAAAGATAACAATTTTGTTTTTCCTTTGACGTGTCCCCCGTCGGACGGATTCCTTTTGTTTGTTTTAAGTTTATTTTATACAAAAGTTTGGGTCTTTTATTTATCGATTGAGGCACTACGAAGTCTGCCGGGTCAGCTAGTTTTTTTATACAAATTAAAAATTCTGGTTTTGCTTTACAGAATGTGAGTGTCAGCCGTCGGAGGACGGTCGGAAGTGCTACTGCGATTGGAAGCGTCAGGAGCCTTACCAGCAGAGGACCACCGCGGATAAGGTACGTCGCCGGAACTGACACTAAAACTGACGACCACTCCACCGTGCTTACTGCCCTAAAGGAGTCCGCACGGGAACCGCCCTCCTGTCCATTCCTACCGCGAGACAGTCAATCGTCGTGTGGATAGTATTGTGGGATAAAGTATTTGTATCGTTGAAGTCGTCGCGGCCTAAAGATAAGACGTCCGGTGCATTCGTATGTAGCGATGCACCGGTGTTCGAATCCCGCAGGCGGGTACCGATATTTCTAATGAAATACGTACTCAACAAATGTTCACGATTGACTTCCACGGTGAAGGAATAACATTGTGTAATAAAAATCAAACCCGAAAAATTATAACTTGCGTAATTACTGGTAATAATGGCAGTAGAAGCAGTAATACGTTTCGCGATGCGATGGCGCATTTACGTTGTAGATGTCTATGGGCTCCAGTAACCATTTAAAACCGGGTGGGCTAAGAGCTGGTCCTCTGAGGAGGAACTACAGTTGAACAAGGACTCACATTAAACACGTTTATTTTCAGGAAACGAACACAAAGCAGCAGACACCGGTCAAAACTCGTCAGGAGAGCGCCAACGACCGCGTCCACGAGCCGGCCAATCAGAATGCAGCGTACGAAGCGTCGACCAATCAGAAGGCGCCCGAACATCAGCACGCGCACCAGCCGACCAATCAGAGACAAGCGTACGAACACCAGTCGAACGAACACGACGGACAGAGGAGCTACGAAGCGAGAGGTATATATATAAGACTAGCTTTTGCCCGCGACTCCGGACCGGCGTCAAGGGCGATGACAGCTGTCAAATTACAGGGTTGTCACTTACATGTACGAACGAAAAGTTCCACAAAATGAATATAAAGTCCACTTTTTTCCTATGCCTTGAGAGGCTACTTTAGCTTCACCCTAAAGTGTAGGTGAACTCTCAGGGCTTAAACCGGAGTGTTGCTAACACTGGACCTAGCAAGAGCAGTGTTTCGCAGAATCTACCACCGGATCGGGAACGCGACCCACTGTGAAGATCCGGCGAGAAACTCAGTGGGCTGTGTCTGAGGGTTAGTTTACTCGTCGAGCCCTTCGTCACAAGCGACGGGTTCGACGAGAACGATGACCGGTACTTGAGGTACCTAAAGCACCGTTAGTGGATCGCGAGGATCCGAAATAAAGTGAAAAAAAAAAGATATGACATATTTTTAACAGAGTCTGGGATTTTTTCTTGTGTCATAGGCACCGGAAACATAAACATACAGACAACAAAACGTATACGCTGAGAAAAGAGAAATTAACTTAATTTTTTTTTATCGCTTATATTGGTGGACGAGCTCACAGCCCACTTGGTGTTAAGTAGATACTGAAGCCTATAGACTCTACAACGCAAATGCGTCACCCACCTTGGGATTTAAGTTCTAAGGTCTCGTCGCGTGCGACGAAGGGCTCGACGAGGACGGTGACCGGTGCTTGAGGTACCTAAAAGCACAGTTAGTGGATCGGGAGGGTCCGCAATGGCGTGTACTTTTATTGGGAGTGAACTCACTTATCAACTAACAAGCAGTCATTTGAGTTTGATTTTTTATATATTACAGATTCGTTCGCCAACCAGCGTTCGCTGTCGGAAGTGAAGCCATCGAACTTGACCAATCAGGACAGCTTAGAGATGTCGCAGCAGCAGAACTACCCGCCCGGCTTCAGGAGCGAGGAGGTGCCGTGTCATTTTTACAAGCTTTATATTAGCTTCACTTGTGTGTATGTTTGTATGTTTGTAACTGACTCCTTTAGACGCGATTTTGACCGACTTTAAACGGCCAGATTTCATTCAAACTTTGTAGATTTATCGAGGACCGATGATAATACACTAATTTGATAAGATTATTCTATTATTCAATTTGCAAAATAAGATTTTTGCCAATTTATAGAATTTTTATCTATAGCCAATAAGGCAGGAATTGATGTTAAAGTACTTAATAGTTTTAAAAATATGCTTTTATAGAAAAATTAACTAAAAAATTAAAAATAAATAATAGTTTAAAAAAACCGAAAAAGACGCTTTGTATAAAATTCAACTAAAAAATAGAATATAAATTTTAATAAATTTTAATTGAAAATAGTGTAAAAAAATATTTTTTATTTAAAAAAAACCTTGGGGTTCTTTTATGATATTATTGAAATAACAATTCTTCTACTCATATCAGTCTGAAAAATATTTATAACTAATAACACCATGCACCTATAATATATATAATATTATTTAATATTTCTAACATTTCTAACATTTTGCTAACTATCTATACTAATATTATAAAAAGGAAAGATTTGTTTGTTTGTTTGTTTCGAATAGGCTCCGAAACTACTGGACCGATTTGAAAAATTCTTTTTCCATTAGAAGCCGACATTGTCCCTGATGAACATAGGCTACTTTTTTTTTAATTTTTTATTTTATTTTTATTTTTTTGGTATCATGTGTGTTTTAATGTTTCCGAAGCGAAGCGAGGGCGGGTCGCTAGTAATATATATAATATTATTTAATATTTCTAATATTTTGCTAATATTATGAACGAAGATCGGCTTTAAGTCGTTGAGGTCTTCATCACGAAGCGTACTTTCAAGAGGTCCTTGTAATTTGATGCTCACATCTGCAGCATCAGAAGCGGTTACTGACTTAAATATACGTAATCCTTAACAAACTAAACTTATTTTACTCTATTGAATTTTGTTTTCACAATTAAATCATAAATTAATTTTTAACGAGTACAATATAATCTCAACGGATAATGACTACTAGATCAATAGTAGAGAACAGGTGACGTCTGCGCCCTCCGGAGGGCGCCTTGGGAGGGCGTGCCTGCCGCGTCAGTATAGGGCTTCGACATAGAGAGGATGCATCTAATTATGCAATAATTGTCTCACTTCGGCCCTCTATTCTGACCACAATCACTTTGATAATATAAAAAAACTCTGATTGCTAATTTTGTTCACAATAAAAGTGTGCCCCTTTAATTTGTAAATTTCATTTAATTTTAAACTTGTTTATGATGTTATACCATTAATAAAGCAGTTTTTTTGGTCTTTTTTATCAGTCTGAAGTCATAGCCTCAACTGTGTAACGTCCCAACCGTTCGTGACCACATATGACGTCATGCCATTGATAAAGCAGTTTTTTTATCAGCGTGAGGTCGTAGCCTCACTGTGTAACGTCCCAACCGTCCGTGACCACATATGACGTCACACCATTAATAAAGCAGTTTTTTTTTTTCTTTTTCATTTCAGATAGCTTCCCCCTCTCAACCCATGAACCAGTATTGTCAACAAGACTACAACATGCAGCCGATGGCGCAACAGAAGGCTGTCCCCGTTGAACCCAATATCAGTAAGTCGTATAAATATTGTTTTAAACGCGCCGGACAATATGCTCACTGCACCGATGGCTTTAATATATGTGGGTGTAAAAAATACATGTGTGCAATTCACACGTGGTAGAAGTGAAACCTTCAAAAATTGAAATACAATTGAGTCGTCTATTATCAAAGGTGGCAATCTGTGCATTTGGACAAAAAAATGTTATTGATATGTCAATACAGATTGATTTGAATATAATCTTCTCCTTCAAAGGATACGGTTCAAAACCTGCATTAAATAAAGGTTAATACTTAACCTGTTATTTATCTAAGATGTCGTTCCGAAGAGTTTTGTGACTGCCAATGGAATACAAAGTCAATAATTCGTTTTTCTGATTTACCGATAATTGTCCAAAAGTCACATTCCCGGCTTTGATAATAGTCGACTCAATTATCCTAAATGTCTAAGTATATGTAACATTTTGTCGTTAGTAAATAATTGTAAATCATCTTTTATAGTATGAGGTAGCGCCCTCTGTGAATTGATATTTTAACTTCACGTATAATCCTAAATTAAAATTCGCTACAAGAGGTTTCATACACACGTTAGTATTAAAACATCTCACAGATGGCGCTGTATTAAAAAACACTACATTAAAAACGTCTAATGTGTTCTATCTCGTTCTCTCGGCGGCTGAATCCTATACATTTATGTGTTTGTGTCTCTATGGACTTATTTTTTCGTTTCATCGAGTTTGAAATCGCGACGTTTCTAAAGAAGTTTCACTTCAATAGCCTTCTCGCCCAGAGCAGTTTTGAAGACCCGCTCGGGTAGGTACCACTACCCTACTTCTGCTACGAAACAGTACCCGGCTTGAAGGGTGGGGCACACGCACGACGCTTACAACTCGCGCCGCAGGTGAAACAAGTCTTCCGTCTCGTTCTGTCGCACGCTAAACCTTATAGTGGCATATGTTGATCTTCTTTTTATTTATTGCTTAGATGGTTAGACGAGCTCACAGCCCACCTGGTGTTAAGTGGTTACTGGAGCCCATAGACATCTATAACGTAAATGCTCCACCCACCTTGAGATATAAGTTCTAAGATCTCAGTATAGTTACAACGGCTGCCCCACCCTTCAAACCGAAACGAATTACTGCTTCACGACAGTAACAGGCAAGGCGGTGGTACCCACCCGCGCGGACTCACAAGAGGTCCTAGCATCAGTGATTACGTAAATTACAATTTTGCGGATTTAATTTTTATTACACGATGTTATTCCTTCACTGCGAAAGTCAACCTACGTGGTAGTAACCTAATGTGGAAGTCACCTTATAGTGGTATATGTCGGTCTCTTTCTACAGTGGGCTTGTATCCGCAGGGTCGCTGCCCGCGCGCGGCGTGCTGTACCCGGCGCAGCTGCAGGGCTGTCCCTACGTCGCGCAGTGCAGGATGGTGAGTGCGGGGCCCTCCCCCCAACCCCCCGCTGTGCTAAGGGTCATTCACCTTGATATTTGTTACTATACCAGGAGCAGCCCATGCCGCCGGTGTACCAGCCGGCGCTCCCGCAGACTGACGAGCAGAAGCACCTGGCGGCTTCCCCACACAATCCAGAGAACACCTTCAGGATCGGTGAGTGTGCTGGTGGATCTTGATTGGGAGTGCCCACTTGAGATATTAGATCAAAGACCCAATAGGTTTGTGTGAGGGCTTGGATTACAATAATGAAAAGCACGCAATGTAACACGAGCTGTGCCTCCGCGTGTCACAGGAGCCCATGGACCCCCCCCCCCCCCCCACCTCCTATCTAACAGTATATAATAATAAAAGTATTTCCGTTGTTTCAGACCCTAGTTATCCGTACGGGGCGGAGTACCCGGGCGCCGCGTGCGGGGCCTGCGTCGAACCCACTGGCATACAGCACGCGCACAGGAGGTAACCTATTATAAAGCAACGCGTAAACGCGGGTAGGTACCACCACCCCGCCTATTTCTGCCGCGAAGCAGTAATGCGTTCCGGCTTGAAGGGCGGGGCAGCCGTTGTAACTATACTGAGACTTTAGAACTTATATCTCGAGATGGGTGGCGCACTTACGTTGTAGATGTCTATGGGCTCCAGTAACCACTTAACACCGAGTGGGCTGTGAGCGCGGCCACACATCTAAGTAATAATTTTTTTTTTTACATATGTGTGTGTGTGCGTATGTGTGTATGTATATACAAGACGATATGTGTAAGAGGGGAGTGAGCGAATGGTATATGATAGAGGAGTATGGAAGGAGAAAACATGATGCACCGACCCCAGGAGACTGGGAGAAGGGCAGGATAATGATGATGATGATACACACAAGGTATTTAGGCATCTCTTCAGTTAGTTGTTATAATTTTTCTGTATGCACCCGTTTGTGAATTGCAATCCAGATTGTTATATTAAATATTTAAACTTATCCTTTCTTGGTTGTAATTTTGTTTTGTGCATTAATAAAGGAAAACAACGTGCCGCCGCCCATGGACATCGACAATTAGGTCGCAATCTACCGCAAAGTAACATCCTTAAGTCTAGTTTAAAGGCACGTGCTTTAGCCCCGAGAACAGGGCCAGGGTACCCTTGTCCCAGGGGAAGTTTCCCTGAGCAATCGCCACTGTTGCAGCTACAACGTGCCCTACGCTGAGCTGCCGCACTACTCGCTCCAGAACCTCGTGCTGCAGCAGCCCCACCTCCAGCCCTACCCCGTGAGTACCAGCGCCCCCGCCCTTAACTCCCTTTTTACTGGTGGTAGGACCTCTTGTGAGTCCGCGCGGGTAGGTACCACCGCCCCGCCTATTTCTGCCGTGAAGCAGTAATGCGTTTCGGTTTGAAGAGCGGGGCAGCAGTTGTAACTATACTGAGACCTTAGAACTTATTTCTCGAGGTGGGTGGCGCATTTACGTTGTAAATGTCTATGGGCTCCGGTAACCACTAACCACCAGGTGGGCTGTGAGCTCGTCCACCCATCTAAGCAATAAAAATAAGATAAAAAACTTCCACTAATCTGTGCGATATTCGAAACTCAATCTTATTAACACTAATCATATTGTACACGTTGGGGTTCGGAGTAAATAAAAATTCTACTGGAGTACAACTTAACACTGTATTAGCACTTAAAACACTTCATAAACACTTTAGAATTCTCAATTCGCTTCAGGTGATCCGTTCGCTGTTTCGCTTCGAGTAGTTCCGATTAATAACTGACTGCGTGTCATCCCTGCAACGCTTTTATAGTCGATACGACATCTCTACAATTATCGAGAACGTTCCCGATAAGTCGAGTATTGTGTTTCCGCTTTCTGATAATAGATGGCGTTGTACTTCTCGAGCGTTCTCGATTTTGCGAGTTCTTTTGATGTTCGTCTCTGCTATTCGACGATAGATGGCTTAGTGTTAAGTTTTGAACTGTTTCGCTTTTCGTTTTCAGTACCAAGAACAGCTGCAGTGGGCGGCGGTGGGCGCGCCCAAGCTGGTCATGCCGGACCTGTACCCGATGCTGCACTACAACGTGCCGTACCCACAGTACAACGTCATGTACCCGCAGGTGAGGACTTAACAGCACTTGTGACGTCATTTGAGGGTAAAATAAACTTTTTTTTATTGCTTAAATTGGTGGACGAGCTCACGGTCTGGTATTAAGTGGTTGCCGACGCCCATGGACATCTACAACGTAAATGCGCTACCCACCTTGACATATTAGTTCTAAGGTCTCAAGTTTAGTTACAACGGCTGCCCCGCCCTTCAAACGGAAACACATTTCAAATTTGTTTAAAAATTTATTTTCTATTTTTTACTTGGATTTTCCTATAAAAGCGTTTTCTTTTCTAGATGCTACCACAGACGTACCCGATGTGTCAGCCCGTCTACCCGCTGCTAGAGAAGCCAGACAACCCTCAGCGAAGCTTCACGAAGAAACAGAATTCCGTGCCCAACTCCTGCCGCAACACCCCCCTCGCCACCCCGCCGGTGGAGCGGGGCGAGCCCGAGCGCGGCGCCGAGATATCCGACAGGATACAGCAGATCAAGGAGCAGATGGCGCAGATGTCGACCCGCGACAAGAGAAAAGACGACTGGAGGAAGAAGAACTACGGGAACGGAATCCTCGGTAGCTACCCGAGTGGCAACTACGGCGGGAGATCTACAGGGTGGGGTTTTTTTTCATCACTCGATTACACTAGTTTCGTGGCCCGATTTCACTCGCGAGCATTTTGTTTCGCTCTTCGACTCGTAGAAGTCACAAAGTAGTGTCCGGAAATGACCTTGGGAAATATTCAGAAGTCGTCGTGTTTCGACTTGAAGGGCGGGGCAGCCGTTGTAACTATACTGAGACCTTAGACTTATATCTCAAGGTGGGTGGCGCATTTGCGTTATAGATGTCTATGGGCTCTGGTAACCACTTAACAACGGGTGAGCTGTGAGCTCGTCCACCCGTCAATGCAATAAAAAAAATCCAAATAATAAAAATTGGAGTGTCTGTTTGTAATAATACAATAACCACTTTTTACTAAATGCGTAAGTATGTATACTGTCTGTCTGTTTGTTCCGGCCAATCTCTGGAACGGCTGGACCGATTTTAACGGAGCTTTCACTGACAGGTAGCTGATGATATAAGGAGTAACTTAGGGTACTTTTTAATACGCTTTTATTAGCTTCAGACGTATGTATGTAACGGAATCTTTGAACATGATTTTGACCCCCTTCAAAACGTCGGATTAACTTAAATTTGGTATACTTAATGGACCGATGACAATTCAATATTACAAAAAAATATATTGAAAAAAATTTAAATTCAACCAAAAAATGAGAAAAAGAAAAAAAATATTAATTTGAATTAAAAATAGTGTAAGACAATGGGGTGCATGGTATCAGTAGTTATAAATATTTTATGAACAGATATGAGTAGAAGGGTTAGTTTGATAATATCCTGAAAAACTATTTTTTAGTTGGATTTTCTATAAAAGCGTACAGTAGAATTAATATACAACGACTTCGCTTATAACGACTAACCGCTTTTAACGACGATCATGATTACTCAAGTTAGGCTTCATAGCTAGGTACTGAGAAAATATACCGCTTAGTGAAACTCCGTTTTAAGCGACCAACTGCTTATAGCGACCCTTAATTATGAATATTATGATGATACGTTCGGTTAAAACTACGCACAATGTTTTGTTTACATAAACTACCAATACCTCGGCGCCCCAACTTCACTCAGATTAGAAGCCGGTGAATCAAATGCAACCCTCGCAAAAGAGTTTTGCGTATCTCATTCTACAATATCAACAATAAAGGAGAATAAAGATAAGATCGAGCCGCTGTTTAATGGCAATTTTTTAAAATACAAACGTGTAAGAACTGATACTCATAAGGCATTGTTCCAGTGGTTTGAGCTTCAACGCGACTGGGAAATACCCGTGAATGTACCTCTGCTACAAGAGAAAGCAATTTTTCGCTATACAGTTAGACATGCAAATTTTTACATGCTCCATGAGTTGGATAAACATATGTACTTAAGAAATAATTCTGCCGTTTTGTACGTCATCCGGTTAGTACGACATAGTTTCGCCGGTCCCTTGCAGGTCGTTATATCCGGATTCTACTGTATTTTGTTAGTTTTTTTAAACTATTATTTATTTTAGACTAGTTACGATAATAACAGTGAGTGAAGTCGCGGGACTCGGCTATCAATGATAATGCTTTTGAAGCGAAACACGGGCGGATCGCTAGTTTAAAATAAGTACATATACTTGACTAGATCAATAACCATGTCCTTTTGTCCGCAGGAGACCTTCGAACGAATCACAGCTGAGCAAAGAGGCCCGCGTCATCGTCAACTCGATAAGGAATATGCACCCTAAAAATACATGTAAGCCGCCATCCCACGGGTGAACGAGCTCACGGACCGCCTGATCTTAAGTGTTTCACGTTTGGTTGAATCGCATCGCTTGATAGATACGCGAATGCATTTCGAAGTCGTCGTGGCCTAAAGGATAAGACGTCCGGGCATTCTTGTGTAGCGATACACCAGTGTTCGAATCCCCCAGGCGGGTACCAATTTTTCTAATGAAATATGTACTCGACAAATGTTCACGATTGACTTCTACGGTGAAGGAATAACATCGTGTAATAAAAATCAAACCCGCAAAATTATAATTTGCGTAATCACTGGTGGCAGGACCTTTTGTGAGTCCGCGCGGGTAGGTACCACCGTCCTGCCTATTTCTGCCGTGAAGCAGTAATGCGTTTCGGTTCGAAGGTTGGGGCAGTCGTTGTAACTATACTTGTGGCCTTAGAACTTACATCTCAAGGTGAACCGTGAGCTCGTCCACCCATCTAAGCAATAAAAAATATTTATTTTTAATTGTAATATTTTTCGTAATTATAGATCATCAGGAGGGGCGCAGAGAGCAGGAGGGGCCGCGCGGGCCCCCCGGCAGGCGCGGCGACCGAGACGACAGGAGCTCCTCCTACCGACCCCAGTACTTCATCAGACAGGTCTGCCTTCACTGGTTCTATCTGCAGCGTTGCGACCGCCTGTGTTCCCAGTGCGAGTGTTTTAACGTTCTCGATAGCGTAAAAGTTAACTCTGATTTGTATGGAGTTGGAACAGCGCCCCTAGCGGCAAACGTAGGCAAATGTTCCAACTCCATACAAATATGAGTTAACTTTTTTATTTATTGCTTAGATAGGTGGACGAGCTCACAGCATCCTGGTGTTAAGTGATTACTAGAACCCATGGACATCTACAACGTAAATGCGCCACCAACCTTGAGATATGAGTTCTAAGGTCTCAGTATAGTTACAACGGCTGTCCTACCCTTCAAACCGAAACTCATTACTGCTTCACGGCAGAAACAGGCAGGGCGGTGGTACCTACTCGCGCGGACTCACAAGAGGTCCTACCACCAGTAAAAACCTGTCCACCTGTTTTGTAACAATGGTGGTATGCAATGATTTTTCGAGCTCACAGTCCCCCTATGTTGGTTATAGGTGGGACTGTGAGCTCGTCCACCCATCTAATCTTGTTTTTGTCTTACAGATGTCTCCGGGGACATGGTGCAGACGCTCTCCCGGACCAGTTCATCCAGGTAAAGCCGCTTGTGTTAATGGCGATGTTAATGGCGGTTATATATTAATACGTGAAGCAAAAACTTTGTATCCCTTTTTTACAAAAATTGCCTGGACGATGGAGGATGAAATTTCCCACACTTATAGAGAATATAGAGAAGGAGTGCAGAATGTTATTTTTTTTTTTTTAATTATGCATAAAAAATTCATTAAATCAATAAAGAAAACATTACACACACTACATACCATGTATTTGAGACAACACATTATTTATTTATTTATTTATTTACATTACATTATACTCTGCGTTTATTGTCAAACTTTTGTTCTTGACGTCTGTTGTCAAATTGAGAATACATTAATATTGTTTGTCTTTAATACTATTTATCTATAGTGTAGTTTTCGCGAAATCTTTGTATTTATTAAAGAAGTCTAATAGTGTTTGATAATATAACTATAATAATGTTTATAAATAAATTTTCAATTAATTATAGTCGAATTTCGACTACTGCGGGGACCACTAATTTATGTAATTAGCTGACCCGGCAGACTTCGTAGTGCTTCGATCGATAAATAAAAGACCTAAACTTTTGTGTAAAATAAACTTAAAACAAACAAAAAGAATCCGTCCGACGGGGGACACGTCAAAGGAAAAAACAGAATTGTTATTTTTATTTAATTCCGGGTATTTTCATATTTATTTACCTTTGAACCGTCTCTGGACTCCCACGAATAATTCAAGAACAAAATTAGCCAAATCGGTCCAGCCGTTCTCGAGTTTTAGCGAGACTAACGAACAGCAATTCATTTTTATATAATTATATAGATTAACATTACATTTTATGAAAAAAGTATCTACGTACAATTAATAGATAATCTAATAATATATGGCGCTTCCTTTAAAGTTTACCCATATGCTAATGTGGCGCCAAGCTTAAAAATTTTTTTTGTTATGCTCTGATGTGTGGACGAGCTCACAGCCCACCTGGTGTTAAGTGGTTACTGGAGCCCATAGACATCTACAACGTAAATGCACCACCCACCTTGAGATATAGTTCTAACGTCTCAGTATAGTTACAACGGCTGACCCACCCTTCAAACCGAAACGCTTTACTGCTTCACGGCAGAAATAGGCAGGGTGGTGGTACCTACCCGCGCGGACTCACAAGAGGTCCTACCACCAGTAACTCATTAGACGCTTCATATACACAGTTGATTTTCCTTACCTCTACCCTCCATAAATGTTTTTAGCAATAACCTAGAATATACTAATTATTGATTGAGCAATTAACGCGCGATTTTAACACCAGTCCGTCAGTAGCCAATGCTAGATAGATTAATACGAGATTGTGAAATGCCAATAATGTATGTAATTGATTTCAGTATTAAACAACCCCGGTCGTCCCTCCCCGGATTCCAGGGGGGGTCGCCGCCCCCATCACGGCTCGGGCCCCCGGGCCGCGCCACACCTGCACTCCTGAAGCCGTCGGACAACTCATTAGTATTTCGACATTGTCATTATCATAACTACCCTCTCAAGCACGTTTCGTAGAAAAAAATAACAAATATTGGAAATCGTCCAGGGGAAAATCCTTTTGTGGTCTGCGGTGGTGTATTGACAGTCCATTGACAGTGTCCGGTGTTCGTTTTGCGTATAACGTTCTCTGTTCTATGCGAGCTGATATTTAATATAAAATCTTTTAGAACACGCACAAGTAACCCTGACGCTTGTCAATGACTGTTCAATAAATATGTCGACAAAAGAAAACTACGGTTAACAAGTCAAAGGTCGATCTCTCTTGATTTGTCAACGCGCAATGGAAAGCTAAGTGTCGTTGGATCACACGAGGTCGCGAGGTCAATGACCGCGCGCGTCACTCCCCGCTTCAAACAAATCACTACATACCCTCGTTGTTTTTTTTTTTGTTATCGAACCTTAAAATACCAAGCGGCACGTCAGACGCACATTGTCCGCAATTACAAAACTTCCAAACGCATATTATTCTTGTATATAAATATATAACTTAAAAAGAAAATCTTTGTGGCAGCGTTTTCGATCTCTTTATATAACAAAACTAGTCATTAAATTTAAAACTAAAGATGTTACCGTTCGTATTGTGAGCTGTGTGACGGCGCAACTTCCGGGGGGTCGGGGCGGCTTAACGTCGACCGGGCCGTGCTCAGTCCGCCCCAGTAACTTGGTCACGTCAGATTCGAAATATTTCAATACTGTCCAACGTAATCCACAAAACGTGGTCATACTAATACGCGTAGGGTAACCATAAATCTATACTAATATTATAAAGGGGAAAGATTTGTTTGTTTGTCTGTTTGTATTGAATAGGCTCCGAAACTACTGGACCGATTTGAAAAATTCTTTCGCTGTTTGGAAGTTACACTATCCCCGAATGATATAGGCTATATAATTTTTTAACAAAAATTAAGGATCCGTACTAAAACTCCAATAATGTAACCCAAGGTGTAAAAAAATTACCTAATTTTTTTGTTAAATGATAATTTCAACCTTTTTTTATTACATACTTATAATTATCTAGACTGTTTTTGTAAAACACTAGCAACTCGCCCTCGCTTCGCTTCGGAAACATCAAATTTTATTATTGATAGCTGAGTCTCGCGATTTTACCCGCTGTTATTGTCGTACCATGGGTGACGCCGCGGGGCGAAGCTAGTCTAAAAAGTCTAAAAAGTAGCCTAAGTTACTCCTATATCATCAGCTACCTATCAGTGAAAGCCCCGTGAAATCGGTCTAGCCGTTCCAGAGATTAGCCGGAACAAACAGACAGACAGACAAAAATAATAAAAAAAATGTTATTTTGGTGTATGTACCGTATATATATACATATGCACGTAGTAAAAAGCGGTTATTTCAATATTACAAACAGACACTCTAATTTTATTTATATGTGTAGATTATATTAAGATTGTTTTACATTAAGTTTTTTTTTCTTCTAAATGCAACAAATAAACAAACATAACCGTCTCTAAAATTTTATATATATATCATTTTGATAGCATAAGCTTTAAGTTAAGAGCAGAGTAAAAGTCCTTAACGCAGAGCTTACCCTCCGGAACGTCGTCTGTTGAAAATGAAATTTCGACCTCACGTCTCAAAGCTTGATTCGATTTGAGGTGTCGTGAGAACATCCGTGACCTCAACATTAAAATTGTTAGCGTTTTTTTGTTTTTTCTCTTTTATTTATTAGTCATATTCTTCATTAACAGCGGTACTTACAATGCTTGTTTGTATGTATAGATTTAACTTTTGGAACGAAGTTCCTTATCGCGCGTTGTGAAAGGGGGCTAGATGGAAAAAATTCTTACGAAAAGTTGTCACGACACTTTTTAGATCCGTCATTCTGACCAATCAACGTGTAGGCGCTTATCGCGTGACATTGCTCGTATCCGATTGGTCCGCGTAATGAGTACAGTTTCTCGAGATAGCGTTTCAACAATAGTAATTTAGTTCATAGTATTGTTTTTTTCT